TAGGGAACCAAATAAAATGTAATTTCATGTTTATTGCTACATATTCTGAATTCGAAAGTGCGATTTGCTACTTGAATGATTTTTTCGTGGAGTTTCTATTTTTTGTCGATCACATAAGAAATATAACACGATTGAAATCGAATTAAAAGAAAATGATTAAAACCTCAACTCCTCAATATGTCGTCCATTCTGCTGCAAACATTTCCTAGCTCTTTTGATAACGTTTATTGTGACCCTATCTATCACGTTGCGATCAATTTGTACGCATACATTTGTGATTTTCTCTTTCATTGCTTCCATATTTACAATTGGCGACTCATAAACCAGTTGTTTCAAGTAGCCCCACAAATAAAATTCAAGTGAGGTGAGGTCTGGCGACCCAGCTGGCCAGTTGCTATCATCATCGAGACAATTGGTGGTTATTAGATTACTTATGTATCGATTTATTTTTTGCCATATCTTCGTAGTCGTTTGAAAAAATCCCATCAAACCCAGCATTGTTGACTTTGTAATAATGAACTTTACTTGAATATGGAATAATATACTGGGTGTCCCTATTCAAATAAGAAAGTTTAGGTGCACTTCGGTGTGACCCTGTATACCTACGATTTATTCAATAGCACAAATGCGAAACGTTGACGTGTCTCACGAATTTTCAGAAAAATCATTTACTCCCCCAGTAGCCAATGTATTCCAGTTAGAGTCTCCACCCTGTAGATAGGTGTATGGGATGGAATTTTCTGTATGATAAAAAAACATTCTGATATTTCAATGGAAACGATCAATTTGTGTATATCCTTGAACTGACAATCATAACTTTTTTTTTAATAAGATGAAATGTAATGGATTTAGATACAGGGATATATTCTTGTCAAAATAGAATGAAAATAATAATTGATTATCTATTAGATCTAGCCGTTAACGAAATTATTTTATCTTATGGGGATTAGCTTTGTATAATCGTCAATTCAATTTTATTGCCTACTCAAGATCCTGTCATGCTTCTGGGAAATTCAGCTTGTAAAATCCACAAAGTGTTTGGTAAAATCCCCCACATTGCTGTATCAAGAACAGCAAATTCAATTTACACTGTTGCCTAATCTTGTTGCGATGTTGGATTGTTCGCAGTTTTCAATATATTCAAACAATATAATGTATTCCAAATAAAAACAATTAACATCAAGGTCTAGTTGACTATCAACACGATATGAAAACGGTGTTGAAAATAAATCTGTGAACAAAATCTGTCGTTCTTCCAGCACAATATATCGTTTCAGGTTACATATCATCGCAGTTATCATTTTGAACATATTCAAATACTGTATTGAGACCTCAAATTCACACAAATTGATGAACAGATTGTACTCATCTTTGCACTGAATATAATTGACTTGTTCAAACTCCTGCACCGATTTATCATTTATGATTCACGTATTATGATCGTGCACAAAATGGTTCAAATGTATTATACTAGCTTTTGAGATGAAAATCCGTATTTCTGTCATCATCTTACTAAATCATGCTCATGAATAATCCGAGACGGCATTGAAAAGTAAGGTCACATCTTGCCAGGAGCAAATTTCAATTGGCTTCATAAATAATATTAAGTTGTTTTCTTTTTTCTGCACTATAACAATGCCAACACAATAATAATTATTTCTGTAAGTACGTGCCTTCACATCTAAAATAATAATAAAAACACTTAGATTCTGTATTATTATCTTTGTTGTCTTGGTTCATCTCACTCGACATCAATATTTTCAAAACTGTAGAAATTGTTCTAAAATATGTTCCTGTAGATCCCAAATATCTTGTTTTTCTCTAGAAATATCGGATTTTTGCACATTTATACTATTATCAAGATATAGGTATTAGGTATGCTTCCTACTCTGCCGAGTGTTATTTTATCGAACCATTTTATGGATTTGAACCATGCTCTATTTCTTATTCTCATGGACTTTATTAACAAAATATCATCAAAATTGACGCTCGTATTATATCACGACGGTGTTATTGATCGTACTTTAAGTCATTGACTCAATAGATCGAAATATGTTTGGATCATTTTATGGAATTACATCCCTTGATGGCTTTCATGAACGCGCTAGTGCGCTTTAAAGTGTTTCAGCCAATGGCAGAGCTTGCTGCCACGTGTGCAGTACCAAGCGGCCTATAGAGTTTGCCAGTGGCGTATCATGAAAGCCAGCACAGGTAGATGATTCTGGAGTTAGTGAATTGTGAATTCATCTATACCTTTTCTACTTCAAATTCGAATTAATTGTTACGAAGTATATTGAGGATCAAATGATGATCACGTATGATACCATCAAGTTTCAATCTTCTCATTCCTCAGATGAGTTTTTAGGTTCAATACTATGTTTGACATTTTTTTATGTATACCTCGCGGTAATTCTATGAAAATATCTTTTCTGAAAGATATTTTCAAAAAACAGAACACTCAGCTCGAGAGTTGTGTACGATTGAATCAGGCTTATTCAAGGAAATTGAAAAATTGTTAATTCATTCCATTCATCATTCTGGATTGTGACACACCCATAACATCCATTTGATTAATCAAATAAATAATGGAAAATACTCTTATATAAATTAACATAACCACTGTTTGTTGATGATTTATTATCTTACATACGAACTGCATCGGGTGATTTTTTTTCTACAGGGCATGTGATTAATCTCATAGCTTTGCACTAATATAGCTTTCTACTTCTTTTTTCTAATTCTTGTAGTTTAGGGGTGAGTCATGTAAATAAGTAAAACATTTGACATATTTGTTTTCATAAATTTGAGAGTCCATGCATGAAATTGTCTTTTGGCTGATAATTCAGTGTCTTGATTGTTTTATTTTTATATCTGTTTACCCATTACAAACACATTACATTCATGCTAGGTGTATTGTGATTGAGGCTTGGTTCTGGCTTATTGTTGTTAATTTTTGTATACCTACATCTTAGAAGAAAATAGACCACGACTGTTTTCGATATGATACATTTCAAATAATTTTTCGAAAAATCTGAAAATATTGCAATTCAAAAATTTTAAGTATGATTGTAGTCTCCGATCTGAGGTGAAGATGGATTTATAAATAGAACAAGAAGTTCACAAATTATTTCGGGAAACCTTGTGATCACACACTAAAAATTATATGAGTAATAAATAATATCTGACCAAGTTATCCGTTATCTTGGATTATAGAATTAAAAATTCAGTAGACACTCGTAACTTCTGAATTCGTTATTTTTCTAGTATATAGATATTAAACAATGAAATATGATGAAAAATACTTCTCACTGACGCATTTACAGTAGTATCAACTATCAAATGATTATTCACTCAGAGAGAGTGTCATTGTACAGGGTGTCTCAGGTTTAACTTATTCAACTCTGACAATCGATAGCAAAAATAAAAAATAAACTTGTTTTCATTATACGGTGTGTTATATAGTTCGCATACATTCTGGGTTTTTATTTTTTATCTCAGTTGAAACAAAACCTAGCGATTTGAAATTTGGTGAGCACTTTTCTATCGGTAATATGAACAGTTCTTATCAATACAGGGGACTAAACGACACTGAGTGCTTTCTTTATCATAACCACTGATATGGAACCCTACAGATTTTTTCCACTGGGATGTTAATTGTGAATTATAGCTGATGAAAAATTATCCTCATTGATTCACCTTGATAGCAGCGCTTCATTTGTTTAGATATATTTCTTAGTTTCCTTGTTATTCGAAATAATGTTTTTCCTGTGATGGGAAAAAAGTTTGGTATTTCATCTCTGTTGGCAGGTTATAAAATGTCACTTTTGATAAATTCCTTTTTTCCCGTGGGAAAAAAGTGAGTACTTTTTTCCCGGATATACATCACATATACAGGGTGATTCAGGTTTTAAGGCACAAACTAAAATGGGAGATACATCTCATCATTTTGATCAAAAAAGTTTATATAAACATAAGTCCGATCTCGTTTATTATTCTATTAATTGAAATATCTCGCTTACTTTTCAAGATATCGTTTTGAAATTTGGTGTGGTCAATACTTTCTAAAAGATCATCATTTGAAGCCATTTGAAGATTTTTAAAATCTACAGGGAGATACGTTTTTGGGGGTAGAGGCTTCTTTATCCCCCCTAAACTTTTTCGTAGTACGCCTCTGGCATCTTTCAGTGATCAAATTGTGTGGTTCGTTCAATTTACAGGCCTTTTCGCTCTTTAATTTTTTTCGAAAAACAAACCGGTTTTGAGATAAATAAGCATATACGGTCTAAAACATGATAATTTTGCCCATGTTTCGCTTATATTTTATTTTCGTTGAAAATGCAATAGAATGTCCTCACTAAAATTGCAATCACGATTCCAATCTTGATCAGTATTGGGGATACAGATGGTAAAAAGTCAAGGTTTTTTTTTCAGTTGAATAAAATGTAAGTGAAACAGGCAAAATCAACATGTTTTAAAACGTATATGCTTATTTATCTCAAAAATGGTTTGTTTCTCGAAGAAACTAGAGGAGCAAAAGAAGCCTCTAAATTGAAAGATCGACATAATTTGATCACTGAAAGATGCCAGAGGCGAATAACGGAAAAGTTTGGGGGGAATAAGGAAGCGTCTACCCTCATAAACGTATCACCCTGTAGATTTTGAAAATATTTTTTCAAATCTTGAGATTCTTAAAATGAGTTCCTTGAACTCATTGAGCTCTGTAAATTATTTAAATGTTTCGAATTGTTAAATCATTTAAATTCGTCAATTCTTTGAATTCTTCAATTCTTCAAATTCCTCAATTTTTTTTTAAACTTTTTCAATTCTTGTAATTCTCGTTTTCTCTGAATTTATCAAGTGCTTTAAATTTTTGAATTTTTTGAATTCTTCAAGTTCTTGATATTTCGCCAAATAATGATACCATATCGAGAACAGTGGTGTGCAACACTAGTAAGTGTGGTGGCGCTACGGGTTTGCTAATGTGTTGTGTTGTTGAGCAGCACGAGGGGGGCGTTAACCCCACTGAGTCTATGACCAGGGCCCTCATAAGTGACGACTCTATAGCCCGACAAAGCACTCTTGGCCCCGTCCAATTGGGGTACGTATCACCTACTCGTCCATTCACCCCCCGTCATTTTCATCATGCTTCGGTGTGTTTTATTGATCTAGGAGACGGTCCTGCATTTCAATTATTTTTTTCTACTCACAAAACTGAAAGGGCGTTTAGCCAGGGCCTACTATATCTCACCGGGCCGGAGCATGGCTTTCGTGACGTCACACTAGTAGGGACAAAATCAACGCAGTGGGAATTGTCTCTCCCGTTTCATTGATTTACCTCGGGAAAACGGTCACAGTTAGCAAAAAATACCTAGAGGTCAAATATGTACAAAAAAGAATTTTCCAGAAGATGAATTAAATTTCACTGATTTACGATCATTAATTTCAGAAATATGGCATATCAAAATTAATTGACGCCATTCAGAATTGTCCTTTTTCAAACAGCTACCAAAATTCCAATATTCAATTCACAGAAATGATTCAATCATGAAAAGATTTCGCATAGTATCTAGATTGACTAAGTTTATTTTCAAATTCCCAAGGGCCAACAACAAACCGATATTTCAATTCAAGTAGAACGATGATTCAGGTGTTCATTACAGAATAGTGCAAATAAGTTCGGACGCCTCCCATGCTAATCCTATCAACTATGGATATATGCTGTCACTGACTTTTTTGTAGGAAATTTGATTGCCTACAAATCCACATCCACTTTATCTCGAAGGGTTTTAGCAGCGTTTATCTCTAAAGATGATCAGGACGCACTTTGATGACGTTAGAAATCCTATCACTCGAGTGTGTTATTACACAAAAACGCCTATTCGGTATATCAATTATTTTCTGCTGAAGACTATATATTTGAATGATAACGTTAAATTCATGAAAAAAAAATTGATTTGAATATATTTGCAAACTATCAAAATTAAAAAGAACAAAATATGTGGAGTTCATATGAACACAACCTAACAAAAATAATTGAAAAAATATGTATCTCAACAATGAGAGATATAAAAATGAATATAACGAACTGAATAACCTGACTAAACCAGGGCCTACTCTATCTCACCGGGCCGTAGTCTATCCTCTCTCTCTCGACGCTGACGTCACACTAGTAGGTTGAGATTTCACATCAGTTCGTACTGGTGCGTTCGTAATTGATAGGCTATAGCTCATTTACTATAAATTTTAGAAGCACACTCAATCGAGACGAAATGATCCTCAACAAATTCTCCAACTTTTGGTGAAAAAATGAATCCGATAGGATGAATCAATACCGAGTTATGGCGTTGTAAAGAAATTCCATTTTATTGTAAATCAGGACGTTGTACTACAGAATACTATTTTTTGCAAATTTGGAATCGGAATGAGATAAAACTAACTCAGTATATCGAACTAGGATAATGCATCAATTGAATTGTGAAAAAATGGTAGAGTTACCTACAATGAGTCCGAAAAAAATTAAATATAAAGAGCGCGTTAAAAATACGCCATTATACCTACCAACCCAAATTTCGCTGTATTACGATTTCGCGGTAATTCCTTGGACTGGTAAAGGGCGATATACTTTTTATTACTCATTTTATTTCTGAATGGCGTATGGTTCAGACGTACGAATATTGGTGTCTGAAAAATTCGAAACAATATTTCTACAAAGTAAGTCACAACATGAAGTTTTGTAAAATTAAAATCAATTCTCTTCTCAATTATTCCGAGAATCAATGTTGCAGTTGTCTTTCGATGAAATCATCAGAACATTCTCTAAAACCATTTCGAATATTCTGTTGAACAATTATTGCAAAATCAAAAATAATGTGACGTCACGAAAGCGATGTTCATGCCCGGTGAGATAGAGTAGGCCCTGATTTAGCGTACGGTTGAGTGACACAAGCGGCTAGCTAGACTAGCAAATCTTCAAACATCGAGGTAAAGTGATTTTTTTTCATCTTCTGGTTCCCACGAAAAGGGATATCCTGTAATGTTCAGAGAACATCGTGAGAACCAAAGGAAATAAGGTAGGAATTGGTGTTCTTCTTGAATTTCTGGAGGTTATATACCTTGGGGAACACCTCCCTTGGCAATGTATTTCAGAGCCTCGCTGTTCGTTGGATGAACGAGTCTTTGGAAAGAGATGTTCTGCAGGTCTCCAAAGTGACCACGAATGGGTGCGAAGCCTGAACTCGACGGGTTAATCTCGCGGGGACAGCCAAGGGAGGAAAAATTGTTGATGTATCAGAAGAGCATCGTCCATGGACATATCGATAAAATAGAGACGTCAACCATAACACATGATATTTCTTCCTTCTTTATATTGAGAAACTAGAACCACGAGTAAAGCGATAGCTTGGTAGTCTGTGTATCTGACTTTCAATGTAGTGACTGGGGTTCAATCCCTGCGAGGCGTAAATTTTTTTTATTATTTTTTCACTTAATTAATTTTTCAAAAATATACTTTTTAGGAAAAAGAATAATTTGGGACAAATTCGGTTGAAAGTACTTTCCTTTTTCACGCAGAAGTCTTATAAACAAGAATAACCTTCTGATAACCTTGAGGTATGACAGATTCGCTGGTCTAGCTAGACGCTTGTTTATGTACCACGCTAAATGATCGATTGATCACGGATTGATGATCTGTGATTTAATCAAAAAAATGGAAAGGACAGTTACTCGATCTTTCAAAAATTTTTAAAATTAATTCAGCTCTTAAAGACCCAAACATTGTTTCTCTCAATGAACAGACACTTTGATTGCCAAAAAATCTTATAATTCTCTAAGATTTCAGCAACCTCAATTTTGTTTTAGTTTAGTCTTAGTTTTGCTATCTATGAAAGGGTGTTTCTTAGTTTTTCAGAATACTATTTGTTTTGTTAAGAAACAAGCATTATTTTGTTATCATTATATGTGTTACGTGGGGGTATCGTTTGAATTGGCTGCTTTAGAGGAATACAGAAATGTTTTCTCCCAATTTTGAGGTGGATTGGTTGTTGATATGTGGGGATAAAAATAAATAATAAGGGTTCCCTTTCGTGCGCTCCACGAATTTTTTGTTCCTTCAGTATGATTAGAATGACAAAAATTAATGGTGAACATAACCAATGGATCTTAATTTTAATTACTAGAAACAATTGAACTGTCTGCCTGAAAAATAAAACACACCGTACTTATCGATTCCATTCCATTCCACAATCCACACACATATCAGATGAAGAATCAAATGTTTGGCATAAACATAAAGGATTTCCAATGCATTTGAACGATATTCTCCTCAACCAGTCGACCAACACAAAGTTCAATAGATTTATCTGATGGCATGTCATAATGACAACGTTATGTCACTCGATTTTGATGACATAAGGAAGCTCATTATGGGACTAAGTACCATAATGAATTCATTATGGGACTAAGTACCATAATGAAATTCTATAAGGAAAACATGTAATGGTTTGATCAAAAAAGTTTATTCAAAATGCATAACTATGTACAAAACTATTTATTATAAATGGTAAAAGAACAATTACTACAATTTGTAATATTAATATAATGGCAAAGCACAGCTCACTCACCTACTAATATTTGAAACTACACAATACTTACTCCTTTAAAAATAGTTGTCATTGTGACATGTCGAAAATGCAGTTTTTAATTTTTCGAAAATGTATTGATATAAATGCCATCAGATAAAATTTTGTATGTAATACGAATCATAAACAATCATGGCACACGCCGTGTTATCGGACTCGGCTACGCCTCGCCGATAACATTCACGACTTGTACCATAATGATCGTCTTTATGATCCTTATTACATAAATAACTATTATGTGATGGATGATCAACTATTCAACTGTACCACTGTTTTCCCTCTTACAAATCTCAATTTACGTGCAGTGTTGTCGTCTCAGCGATTTTGTCCCTGAATCTAGCGTTTTCAGGGTATGTCAACGCGGTATTTGTAATCGATTTGCGACATGTCGGAGGTCTATAGCTTTTCAAATTGTTTTAGCTTTTTTTTTGGAGAGCATGTCATAAATCTAGCGTTTTTCACATTGTTAAAGTAATTTTTTGAAGATCAATTGATCATGTGAATCTGCCAAGAATAACAATTGCATAAAACCAAAACTGGATCATCAAAAATGTCGATGAATGATGAAAAAAAAAGTCACTCGCTTTTCCCCTTGAATTCTCCCCACATTGCGATTACAGCAACTGGCAACACTGTTTACATGTCAGCTGTTGGTTTTTCTACACATTTGCCCATTCCTTTTTTGAGATTTTGTTTGAGCCCCATGGAAATGTCATGATATTGTTTATTATGGAATTGAAAATGTTCAATTTCAATAGAAAACATTTTTGCAGTTTGAATAAAAGATGCGGTATTCTGGTGAGATTCGATCGATAATAACTCAACTATTTTCGATTCAAATATGCAACTTATTTATATTTTTGAAATCAATAAAAAAGAAGGTTCTATCGACATGTAAAAAAATATATAGGGTGTTTCATGTTTATATGAACTTTACTTCCTAAAATATCACAAGGAATCACCCCTTGAATTTTCTCGGTGTTATTTAGATACACCCTGTATAAAAAAGTCATTACGAGACAAAAATTTCAGTCATTTCAAACAACTTCTATATTCGACATTTTTCTAGAGAAGAGGCGCATCTTGTACAGGGTGATTGTTTATATTTTACTAAATAGCTATTTCAGTTGATATTGGTCTTATACAGAAACGTTGAAATGGTAAAAAATTATGTATTTTCCATGGGCATTCAGAACATAGTACTAGAAAATTCAAAAAAGCATCTTCAACCTAAAAATTTTACATGAACTGGTATTTTTTACTCCAGTTTGATACTTGATTATCCATCGCATGTATCTGTTAAATTTTTACTATCGGAAATCCTATATGCCGGTAATTTATTTCTACATCTGTATATACATCCATACACGTCATCACTCGAATGCAGGATTTAGTTTCAGTTTGAATTTTGATAGTATTGAAAACAGTTTTAGATTCTCATTATATTACTTATCTGATTATG